GGGGTTTGTTAAAAACCGTCAGGCTTTCTTCAATGTTAGGCAGCTGCTCGGTGTGCTGTACACTCCTAGTTCACTCGAGCACACCAGTGACCAAGTTATTCTCTCACTGGATGCTGAGAAGACATTTGACTGGGTGGAATAGAGTTATCTTCAATACTTTAAAGCTTTTTAAATTTGGTCCCAAATTCATGTCAAGTATGAAGTTGATATATACCTCCCCAATGGCGGCAGTCGGCACTAACTGCAATATATCCAGTTACTTTGAATTGCAACACGGTACAAGACAGGGATGCCCGCTCTAACTGCTTCTATTTGCATTAGCAATAGGCCCACAAGCTGTATGCTTTACGGCAAAATGTCATCATTAAAGGAGTAAATCGATTATGTCACAATAGGCTGATGCTGGTGAACCCAATGGTTCAGACAAGCAGGCAAGGACTCATGATGTATATATAAAATAAATAATTTATTAACACAACAAAGAGCTGACAGGGCAATAAAACAAACATAGAATGATCAGGATGTCCTCAAGAAACAGACAGATCATCACCAGTGGACAATGCCAGGACAAGGAGTGAGACAAACACGCAGGCTTAAATACAGCAAACAGCAATTAAGCAAATTGAAGACACCTGTGAGTAATCACAGATGCCAGAGACAGAGACTGAGGACACAAGACATAAACACAACACAAGAAGGAGCCAGATAGTAAGGAAACACAAACCCTATTAAGATAGAAACAGAGGATGGGAAGAAAGAAAGACATAAACCCAACACCGGGGGGCTAGACGCCAGGGGACAAAAACCACAACTCCTAAAGTACCCCCACCCCCAAAGGACATCTCCAGATATTCAAGAGCCCACCTCTCAAAGACTTGGGTGGGAGGAGAGGGAAAACAGGTCGGAGGGCACAAGGAAACAAAACAGGAAACATACATGGAACAAACTCAAAATAAAAATGTCCAGACGGTCAAGAGACCGTCCCAAAGCAGGCCATGTCCAAAACCCTGGAGTAGGTCAGGCAAGGAGCCTGGACCCACGGGGCAAAGAGACCACAAGGGCTGTAGGTGGCGTTGGACCTCCATGAGCATCAGCCCCAGGCACTGCAGGCAGAGTATGGACATCCGTGATTATCGGCCCCAGGCACTGCAGGCAGCGTATGGATCTCCGTTAAGCGTCAGCCCCAGGCACTACAGGCGGCATATGGACCTCCATGAGCGTTGGCCCCAGGCGCTGCAGGTGGTGTATGGACCTCCGTGAGTGTCGGCCCCAGGCGCTGCAGGCGGCGTATGTACCTCCGTGAGTGTTGGCTGAGGCTGGCTCGGACTCTTCATTGGCTGGGAAGACATGGCTGCAGCTGTCGGTGAGACCTCAAGAGAAACAGAGGACTGCAGGCAAAGTGAAGACCTCAGTGGAGCGAGGACCTCTGGACAAGATGATTAACCAAGGTGAGGCAGAGACCCAAGCAATGCAGGCAATGTAGGAACCACCTCAGGAGCCGCATGCCACGTAGAGACCACCTCAGGAGCTGCATGCAGCATGGAAGGCGATGCTGCCGTGGAACCCTCCAGTGATGCAGCTGTTGTGGGACCCTCTGGTGAAGCAGCTGCTGTGGGACCCTCCGGGGATGCAGCTGCCATGTGGCTCACTGCTGAACAGGAAAGAGAGAAGCCCACCTAGACCCCCTCAGCAGGACAGCAATGAGAGGAGTCCACCCAGAACCCCACTGAGATACTTGGGGATGGGGAGTTGTCTGGTCCTACCCCCACAGAGACACTCAGAGGTGGGATATCGGGGTCAGTTGCCGCAGACACACGAGGAGATGGGGCATGTTTCTGGTCCAACCCTCACCGAGACACACAGAGGTGAGGCATAAAGACCAGTTCCCAGGGAGACACAAGGAGGTGGTGAGGTGTAATGGTGTGCATCTGGGGAGTCTAGAGCTGGTGAGTAAAGTTGTAGAGCTTGGGGGAGTCAGGTTGTAGAGCTGGGGGGAGGCAGGCTGTTGAGCTGGGGGGGGGGGGGGCTGTTCAGCAGTGAGCCGCGTGGCAGCTG